CTTCAACTCTGGATGGAGAATATGGCAGTTACCCAGGAACCTTTCTGATACTCTCAGGATTTCCAGTGTTCATCAGTCAGTCTGTCCTCTGGTCTCCTGCAATGGGAACTGAAAGAAAAAAATGGTTTTTGTTTTGTTTTGTTTTGTTTTTGCCGTCTACTTAAATATCTCAGGTCCTTCACAGATTCATAAGGGCCAGACTATATCTCTAACAGATGAGCTTGGTTGTCTCCACTCTTGAGTAAGACCTAATCACCATGTCTGAAAGGAGATAATGGTTCTTTTGGAGACACAGAAATCCTAGTAAGACAGCAAATACAGGCATTGCAGCTAAAATTTCCTAGATATTACATGGACTATTTGATCCTACATTTTTGTTTCCATGTCTGCTAAGTTTTCACAGTTGAAGCTTGGTTACGAATTTCACTTTTTACTTAATTTTAAGAAATCAAAATGTGTAATTTTGAGGGAACGTTAAGGATGTGTGAAGAAAGAAGGAAGAAAGGACAGCCCAAGATACATGTTAGCAGTTACCATGTTTATGTTGGAAGATTAAGACCTACTAAGATAGGCACCAATATAGTTAACTTTAAAAATTCCATCTTTTTTAAGCCCTTTCAGTTTAGTTTCGAATTCTGAAGATTGATCTTTTCCTTATTGATTACAGCTTGGATGAGATTAGCTTGCTTCTTTTGCAAAAATACCAAAGAGCACATGGCTTCTCCTACTTATCACTTCATAGTAAAGTAAATTCTGGAATCTGAAAATTAAACTTCTTTTGCATAGTCACCCTCTTTATCAGATCTTGGGCAGGTGTCTGTGGGGGTGACCAGGAATTCTTCTGGTAGCAAAATATGGAGCCTGTAGGCAGGCCCTCTCTATCAGATCTTGGGCAGGTGCCTGTGGGGGTGACCAGGAATTCTTCTGGTAGCAAAATATGGAGCCTGCAGGCAGGCATGTCTCCTGATGTATCATCCAAGAGCTGATGTGCTAAGAGTGGAACTTTAGTGCATAAGGCAGAACTGACAGGTTTTCTGGTGCAAGATTTTCATGACAGATCACACAAGGCTCCTCTTACTGCGTCTTCCCTGTACAGGTGTTAGGGTGAGGGGAAGGCCACTTCTTTCATTGTGACCTACTGGATTTTATAATCAAATTCATGGAGAGACACAGAGGCATGCATATATGGATGTTCATTTCATCTACCTGATCTTTTACAAATTTTTTCCAGTTGCATAATAGCCTGGTAGTTCAAAGATCCAGGTAGGTCATTTTCCCTCTAAGTAGTGAATACAGGCCAAGTGGTGTTACAGTAAAAACTCATCGCTTCCTAGACTCTTACTGACAACTGAACTTGTTCTAGCCAGCCAGAATTTGTCCAAGTGGACTCTCAGCCCAGAGTAGACAACTCACCCTTCTCAAACAGAAAATAGTTACAGAAAACACTCACATGTCCTCAAGAAGCAAAAATCATATGTTAAGTTAGAGACAATCCCCAGATACATGCTCTCAGAATCTCCCATAAGACAAGTCATTTTTCCTAAACCAGACTTTATTATATTCCCTAAAACCTAAACTGGATGGAGGAACGGCAGCAGTAGGATTGCTTAAACTTCATGTTGATCCCACGCCTGAGTCAAGCACATGCTGTGAGAACTCTCATGAAGGCCCACACTCCTCTAAGTCAGAAACAGAAATGCCATGACGTGTCCTACAGATTCGATGTCCCATCGAATCTGCCATCATGAGCAGGAGCCCTTTGACAGACGTGTCATCAACTGTGGGTGTCTAGTCCCAAGTTGGGCATGAAGCTAAAATGGGACAGACCCAGGGGGCCAGTGGTGACCTAGGTAGTGGGGTTCTCACTCAAACACTCCTGGGACATGGCTCACAAGCAGCCACATTGGGAGGATTTACTTACATAGGGAGTGCAAGAAGGGATGGGGGAAGGAAAGATGAGGTCCTTGCTGAAGCTGCGAGAGGCAAAAGCAGGTGGCTTCTCCTGGACACTCCCCCTTGCCTTCATTTACTGTGCTGATGCCAGGAGTTTAACTGCTGAAACCTCAGTGGTTTAATTGCTAAAACGCCAGCTCTTCAATAGCCAAACGGTGGCTGGACCTGTCTGATATCAGCCCTGAGGACATCAGAGTGTGGAGTTGGGAAAACTCCACCCCCACCAGTGAGTTGATTGAGTGCTACCCCAGCTTGGAGAGTGCCCTGCATGTTCTGGTATAGTCACGTAAATCGGTGCTTCATCCCTCTTCATGGTAGAACAGGGCTCTGTTACACGGATCAGTCGTGCTTACCCGTGCATCAGTTGGTGGGCATTTGGGTGATTTTTTTTTCTTGATTATGAATAATGCTGCTATGGAGTTATGGTCAGGAGGAACATGAATTTTCATCATTTATTTTTTAAAAGAAGGGTTTCACTCCTTTTTCTTCTGTAACGCATCTGTTCAGTAAGCACTTTCTTTCCTGAAAGACTTGTGCGGAAGGTCAAGCCACATGTGTTAATTAATAATCGACAAAATGAGAGAAATCCTGTTGAAAATTTGAGTTTTCCTTTTGGCATTTAGAAGCCATACTTGCAGTTATTGGTGCCAATTCTTTTCTAGTTCTGGAAGTCAGAGTCTATTGTTCTCCTTGTCCAGTTACAAGGAATTCTTAGCTCTTCTGTTTCACTTGAATGACTCCTTGTCCACATTAATAGAATGTACCTGATTACCTAGTACCAAGGTGATGACTTTCATTTTGATTAGTTATTTCAGAGAGAAAAATAAATAAATAAAAGTCAGAGTGGCCTTAGTACTATAGAGTTCAGAATGTACAATAGGAGGTCATGAGTATAATAAAAAATGGTTTATGGCCTGCATTGAGGCATAACTTCAGGCACAGTGAGTATTAAGAATTAGTTAATGATTAAGCAGAACATTTTTAATCCTCCAAGAAAAAAATGTAAGCAGTTAACATAAGATGCTTTATAACTTATCTTGAGTAGAATGAATAAAGATAGCTTTTAAGTCCAAGAAGCGTTGATAGTGATGTTTAAATGGTAAGTTAACAAATCAGTCAACAACTGGGAAGATTTAGTTTACCCAGTTTAGGGACAGGCTTTATAAAAAAAAATTTTTCAAAATTTTATGTGATTGGTTGCTTGTTATATTGCTGTATAAGTGGTTCTCTCAAGATTAGTGTCAGGAATATTACGCAAGACTTCATGTAACTTCATTTACCACCAATTGTGCAAACAGTTACAAGCATCTACTGCTTGTAAATGGGCATAATTGGCAGAGGGGCCATTCACTTCTGACCAGCAGATTCCTCTCTGGGAAAATTTGATTGTTTCTGACAGCTAATGGGTTAATAGTAACTGCTCTACTGTGCTGTCTTGCGCTTATTTATCAGGCCATCTAGAACAATGTCTTACTGCTGTTACATATCCTCTGGAGAATCTGGTACTGTATTGAAGATTTGCCTGCATTATCTTGTTTAAATCCTCAAAGACCTTCACAGGGTAGGTAGACACCAGTGATGCTTCTCGTCTACAGAGGGATGAACAGAAGCTCAGATTGTGTGGCCTGTGAGTGCTCACACAGGAATGACAGACTTGATTGTGCTGTTGACTCTACAGCTCACACTAACCCTATACAGTGGGAGATCACATTTCATCCACAGTTGAAGTTCCTGTATTTTCTTTTAGAAAGTGCGTTCTGGTTATAACTCATTTCTGGAAATCTTGTTCTTAGTGTGTTACTTTGCTGTCTCCTTGATTACAGTGTGCCTTCAATTAACTTCTTAAGATTTCTTTAGCAGCTTGCTCCTGTCTGTGTTAAAAACACAACTCAGTATTTCATTTTTTAAAACAAGATTTATTTATTTATTTATGCACACAAGAGCTGAATACAGGCATTGGGGTTCGGGAGAGGGTTGGGAGGAGGTGAGAAGATCCACCAGAGACTGAGTGGGGAGCAGAACAGTTGGATGTACTGAAATACACTGCTGAGGAGAGCAGGGGAAAAGACAGGAGAGGTCTGCTGCATCTAGCCAGGGATCAAATTCAGTGCTGCAGTGGCTGTGGACAGCTTCAAAGTGCTGAGACTTCACCCCTTGCATCATAAGGAGGCCCAGAACTCAGAATTTCTTTTTTTTAAAGATTTATTTATTCATACAGAACTGGGGTACAGGCCAGAGGCTCAGGGGCGGTGAGAGGCTTCACCAGAGACAGAGTGGGGAGCAGAACAGGCAGATCGACAAAGTACACTGCTGAGGGGAGCAGCAGGCTGGTCAGGAGAGGTCTGCCACGCCATGTGGTCACCTCCGGGGCAGGCGGGAATTGAACTTATGCAGAGTGGCTTTAGCTTCTCAGTGCTGTGCTTTAACCTGCTGCGCCACCAGGGAGGGCCTGAACTCACTATTTCTAAACGTCTCTTTATAGCTTGTAAGAAGAAAGGCAGCATAGCCTGGTTAGTGGTATATTAAATTCGGCTGCCTGATACTACCATTGATCTTTTTGGTTGTTTTGAGTTAAATCATTGAATAGGTGACTTCCCCCCTCTCCCCCCACCCCCAATCTAAAAACAAGGTTAATAATGCAAGTTTCTGCCTTCTGGTGTTGAATCTCAGTGAAGAAGGGGCCAGTGGAGCTTTCTTAGATCTTGGGGGCACAGGGATATAGTGACTGACCAAACTGTTGGGCCCTGCAGGAACCAGAGCACCTGGGAGGGAGCCACCTTTGCTACCCCTCTTAGCTTCATGACCCCAAGGCCTCCCCTCACCCCCCCACTCTCTCTGCCTACCTTGAGGGTAATGTGAATTAACAGAGAAACTGTAGTTTATAGATTATAAGTCATATGTGTACAAGAAATGATTATCCTCAAAATACTGTGAGAGCATAATATTTGAAAACCTTAGGTTTGATTTATTTATCTTTTTTTGTTTGTTTGCTTTTGAACTTCCTAAATGACACTTCATTATGTGTTTCCATTTTTCTTCTTTTTTAGTGGTATGTGTGCAACAGAGAGAAATTATGCGAATCACTCCAGGCTGTCTTTGTTCAGAGTTACCTTGATCAAGGAACACAGATCTTCTTAAACAACAGCATTGAGAAATCGGGCTGGCTATTTATCCAATTGTATCACTCTTTTGTGTCATCTGTTTTTAGCCTCTTTATGTCTAGAACATCTATCAATGGGTAAGTGAATCTTGGACATTTTTCTTTAACCTTCGGTTTAAAAAAAATGAAAAAGAAAAGTTAATCTTTCTCAAGATGTTGACCATCTCCACTGTGACACTTCGGTTGTCCAGTTACGCTTAGATTCACCCTAACTTGATAAATAGCCTCGTAAGTCTATTTTTTTTTTTTTTTGTGATGGGAATTTCTTAGAGCAGTGCTTCCCAACTTTGATGTGCATGGGAATTACCTGGGGAATGGGTAAAATGCACGTTCTGAGTCAGGAGATTGCGGGGAGAAAGGGTTCCTGGATTCTGCATTTTAACCAGAACGGTTAATAAATAGATTAACCCTGGCTGCCGCTAGTCTCCTGTAGAGAACAGCAAGGCACTTGGGGCCAAGCCCTCATAGACGGGCCTTCTCTTAAGCACATTTCTAGGAGCAAGTTTTTTGGAGGGTAACTAATGAGTCAGCCCAGCAGGGGGTGATGGCTTGCTTAGGGTTCTGCTTGGCCCTTTCATAAATAATGCCTAGTCACTCCAGAGTTGTGTAAAGTGCTATGGTATCTCTCTCGAGTGGTTCTCGCATATAAATCCATGGAAAAGCTTCAAGAATATTTTTTATTCTTACTTGGCCAAACTCTCAAACACCCCCAAGGCCAAAAAGGCAAAGGAAAAGCAACTGGATTCTGCTTAAAAACCATGTTGGATGAAAAGTCGCTGGTTGTGCCCACATTTCCCGTGGACGTTGGGAGCCAACTTGTTCTGAATGTCTGGATTCCCAGTCTATCATCTGGTCCTGAAATCTGTTTTCAGGCACCACAAGCCATTTCTCAAGATTTCTTACTTGATTTTCTTCATTGTTTATATGAAATTGCCTGAAGTTAGCTTCAGCAGACAGTTGTTATTTTTGTATTGGTAGTTGAGTTTATAAAACTCCATCCGACACTTTGTTTCTAAAACTGGCTGTCTTGAATTTCTGTTCTATACCATTTATTTTTTGGTGAGGAAGTGAACAATTCACTGTAGCAGTGATTCTTACCCTTCCTGAGGTCCTATACTTTTTGGATAGTGATTATAAAGATAGGCATACAGTCTTCAAATAGTATTTACATTAAACATTTTATATATATTTTGGGGGGAGATTATGGGCACTGAGTCACTTCCTCCTTTACCTCTACTCCATTGGACGCTGGTTAAAATTCCTTACTCTGGAATTTCATATTTTAATTACAGAGAGACAACACAGTGAATAACCCCTCCCCTTTTAATCTAAAGGTCATCCTCTCCTCTCCTCACAAGAAAAAAGCAATCACAAAAGTCTCTTGTCATGTGTTGTATTCTCAGCTGAAAGCTTAATTTTGAGCCCATAGATACCCACCCCTCCATGACAGTGGTGGATTATTACTATGAGTAGCTGTCTCTTACAGAAATAATTACTGTGAAACTCTTGAATTAAAAAGATCCATATCTGATATCTTTTTTTTTTTTTTTTTTTTTAGTTTTGCTGTTCCTCCCCCCACCACCCATGTCTGATTTCATTATGTTGGAAAGGGGAAGGCCGAGGAAGGCCAAGAAAGGCCATGTTAGCTGTTTTCAAAGTTTGTTAGGAAGAGAGTGATAAGGAGATGGACCTCCTCAATAGACTGGAAATCCAGAGAGAACATTGGAGTCCAGAGAACCTAGGGTGGTTATTAAGTATTTTTTTAAAAAGAAAGAAAGAAAAACATGACTTGGTAATTAAAAACAAATTAGAGAGCCCTGCCTTTCCGTGGTATGTATTTGCTGGAAACTGTATTGACCCAGACACTAGGTCAGTGTCTGGGTATTTTAGTGGATTATTCCTCATTGTGTACGACGCCCCTCTTCCGCCCCCCAGCAAACACACACTGAAGGAAGTTTAACTGTTCTTGGTCCTAGTTGAGGAATACTGGGCTAGATTAATTTCGACTGTTTTGACCCTTTTGAGTAGCCTCAGTAGCTCATGACTTTGGGGAAAAGGACAAAGCTTCTTTGGTGCTTCTGCATGTAGACCAGTCAGATGACCTCACCAGCTCTCACCTTAGGTTACCGCTGGCTCTAGACTTTATGATGTTCATCATCAGCTTTCCCATATTCCAAAGAGATGGGCTAGGGAAGCATGCCATTTTAGAACTGGGAAACCTTAAGCTCGATGAGTGTTTACAGCTGACCTGAGCCTATGGTGAATGAGCACCAGCATTTGAAATGTGCATCTCCCGGGCCTTGCTACCTGTGACCTCACCCTGCTCTGCCTGGCTCCCGTGTGAAATGAAGGAGCTCAGTCCCTTTTCTCAGATTGCTTTCGCAGGCCTGTTTTTCCATTAGAAGATAGGAACAGCTGAGGATTAAAATCACCTTGTCTTTTAGAGTAGTGTTTTCTCTGGGTAGGTAGCATTGTGCTTAGCAGTCTCTGGTCTTTCCACCTCCCGCCCCATTTTTAGCATTTTTGTGAAGCAGAAGATTTACTGTAAACACACGATTAGATTTGGTTAGTCTTTTGTAGTCTTAATCTGATAAAGGGGAGGGGGAGTTCGCTGTATGAATTTCATAATTTAAATTGTTTCCCAAAACTGGTTTTACCAGGAGCGTCAACTTGCAGGCATCTTCCCAGTCACTGTGTAACAAACACAGTGTACCTTAGGATGGTTTCCAGAAAGTAGCAGTACAGTACAGGTCTTGCTGCCATCTCCTACGCCCTTGAGTTTTAAGCTTTTCCTGGGTCTGAAGAGGAAGTGCCTCAGGAGCTGCTTCAGGCTGCACAGAAAGGCCTGGACGTGACTGGCGTTAGCTCTGGGCTGGCACACTCAGCTTGGCAGTGCCTTCCCCATGGTAGTTCTGGCTTGTCTGTGAGTCCACTTCATTTAAAGAAAGGTGTCTGCTGCTCTAGGGAAGTTTGAGGAACCTCTGCCCTTGGCAAAGTAGGCTTCAAGACCTGGAAAACAGGCTCTAACTAAGCAAGAGTGCATTTTATTTTTTTTTCCTTCTTAGCCTTTTGTTTAATTATACTAGAAGAACTGGAGTATAGGCTAGAGTTGGTGAGGGGTGAGAGGATTCACCAGTGACAGAATGGGATTCAGAACAGGTGTATTTGCTGAAATACACTGCTGAGGGAAGCAGGAGACAAGAGATGTCAGCTGTACCACATGGGTCACCCCCCTTGCCGGGGATCAAACGCAGGCCTTTGTGGTAATAGCGCTGAGACTGAACCCCTAGGCTACCAGGGAGGCCCAGAAATGTGTTTTATTTCCTAAGTTAATACTTCCATGAGACGAGACTTGATTTATAGCTGCTGTTCCAATTCAAGCTCCCCTTACTCTCTTAAAAGTCATTGTTAGTTTTGCATGCTGCTTAGGCTCTTTGACAATAACATAAACCTCTGCAAATTGGAATCTTCTTTCTAAATGTAAATTCACTGATATTATGGTTTTCTCTTTAATGTCTCTGAAAAACCTAGTATACAAAAGCTGTGTTTTTCTGACCCCTTGTTTAGTTTATGAATTGCTTCCTTTCTTTACCTCCCCCCATTTGATTTTTCTGCCTGGTGGTATGGGCCAGTGTTGTGGTCTGATTTTGTGGGCCTGATACCTTTTTAAGTGATAAATGTGTATATTTTTGTTAATTCTTTTATCTTCTTATTTTGACAAATTTTTCCCATTTGTTTTTAATTGCTTTTTATACTCTAGGGGATGTTATTTGCAACCTTAGAGACAAATGGTGATGTCTGGAGTTATTTTCTTCTATTAAAGTTTGGCTTTTTAGTCAGAAATTCTCGAAGAGAATATGTTTTAGTTATGTAATCAGGTACTCAAACGTATTTTAAGTTCAAGATGTGGTTGATGCTGCGTCACTGACGTCAGTGTGTGTGCGGGTGTTTGATTTATATAGACTTTTCCATTTTTGTTCCCTTTTCCTCCAGGTTGCTAGGAAGAGGCTCAATGTTTGTGTTTTCACCGGATCAGTTTCAGAGACTGCTTAAAATTAATCCAGACTGGAAAACCCATAGACTTCTGGATTTAGGTGCTGGAGATGGAGAAGTCACAAAAATCATGAGCCCTCATTTCGAAGAAATTTATGCCACTGAGCTGTCTGAAACTATGATATGGCAGCTTCAGAAAAAGAAATACAGGTATAATTTTTAGACATAGTTTGTGTTTATTTCTTGGTTTTAGGTTTAGTTTTTCTTGAAAGCATATTGCTTAAAGGTTATGAAACAGTTTTCCAGGATTAAGAGTTAAAGAAGAATTCCCATATTCAAACTTAAGTGGAAACTGAGTTTTTTTTTCTTTGGCAGCATTTTTCCAGACTAGAAAAGTTGGCACTGTAGAGAGGAAAAAGACAGGTGAAAGAAACTTGGAAAAGGGAGATGAGATGCAGGAGCTTCTCCTTATGGGAATCTAGAATCCAATCTTGTTTTTTTTTTTTTAGTAAAAATAGAAGACATTTACCAATTTAATACTTTTTAATTGTGCATTCAGTACTAGTTAGGTCTATTGACGTTGTGTGACCATCACCACATCCATCTTCAGAACCTTTTCATCTTCAATCATCAAAACTCTTTACCCATTAAATGCAAATTCTTCATTTCTCCCTCCCTACCGTTCTACTTTTGTCTCAGATTTTGACTGCACTATGAATGTCAAATAAGAGGGTTCAGAAGTCATTTGTCCTCTTGTGACTCTCCACTTAGCAAAATGTCTGCAGGGGTCATTGGTGGTATAGCATATGTCCAGATTTCCTTTTAAAGGCTGAGTAATATTCCGTCATAAGGTAGACCCCATCTGTTTATTCATTCATCTGTTGGTGGACATTTGGAGTCGCTTCTACTTTTTGGCTGTAGTGACTAATGTTGCTGTGACCGTGGGTGTGCAAACCCTGCTGGGGTCACTGCTTTCATTTTGGGTACATACCCAGAAGTGGATCATCCGGATCATCTGTTAAATTTTTTGTTTCATACATTTAATTTTTGAGGAATTGCCGTACTGTCTTCGTGGCAGTTGCACCATTTTACATCCCACTAGCAGTGCACACGGTTCCAGTTTAACATCTTCACCACTACTTGTTATTTCGGTGTTTTGATATCGCAGCCCGAATGGATGTGAAGTGTTAAATTGTTTTCCTACCATCTTCTATTTGAGAGGCCGAGGCAGCAGGCTACTCTTCATCCAGTATGAATGCTGTTCAGTGGTGGAAGATGTTGAGTATAGAATGGGGGAGGAGAGGGTAAAGCCTGCCTCCTTTGATATTTTGAAAGTCAGGCCTCGCCTGAGAAATTTAGGCACTCACTTTCCTGTCCACCTAAGTTACTGCTTATGTAGACTAGCCCTGGAGATGGCACGTTAGTGAAGCTGTTAGGGCTCTCTGGAGACACCTCTGTGTGTTGAATTAATAAGTGAGTCATAAAATCCCCTTTATCTCCAGCAATCTCTCCAGTTAGATTCTGGTGGCTCTAGTTGGTGATAATTGAAATTTATTCCTTCAATTAGAAATTAACTTACCATTTCAAAACTTGGAATACTCTGACCTTTGTTACAACAGCGGCTTAAACATGCTGAATAACGAGTCCGACTCACTTCCCACGTTAAAAAACAACTGTTTTGAAGTGGTATGGGAAAGAAGGTGTTTGAAGTAAGTTTTCATATAGTTCCCTTCTCACTTATTCTGGCCCTTTCCTTGAATGTTTAAATGGAATTTTCATATATTTGAATTAATACATCTAGAATTTATATGCTATGTAAAACGGTAAACTTAAAATATATAAAATGGTTAATTTTTTTCCTGATAAAAGCACATATGTTATATGTTTGCAATTTGACACAGATAAGAAATTAATACTAGTGGACACTTTCTCCATAATATTATAAGTATGAAGTAAAAAGTCACAAAAGTGGCGACTCGTGTAGTTGAGGTCTAATGAGGAAGCAGTATCTCACCAAGTTTAGGGTTCATCTAGTCCACAATGGCCAGGCAAACTTGTAGCTTAATTCTACATCTTCTTGGCTTCTTTTTGATGGGTAGCTATTTTTCATTTCAATATCTGGACCATGAGCAACTGACTTTTTAATAGTTTCTGGATGTCATTTTTTAAATAAAAGAAATAGCCAGGGTTTTCCTCTGTATTGCCAAGGTATTGTTTTTGCCTGAAATCTGGTTGTAAAATTTAAGGATGTGGCTTTGATTTTTAAAATAAAATAATAAGTTTCTTTATAGTGTTTTTTTAATCTAGAATTTATCAAAACTACTGATTACTTTGTCATTTCTCTACAAAAAGTGTATTTTAAAATACTTCTGGAAGGTAAATAATTTTTTTTTTTTTTAAATAATCCTCCCCTAAATAGCCACTTTGTTAATAGAAATGTTGTTTTGGAAAAGCCAAAGACATTAGGAAGGGATTCTATGATTAAATTCTGATTGTGTGTACTGACGAACAATGCCACCAAGCAGAGGAAAATAAAAATACTTCAGCTGAGAAAAGTTTCACCAGCGTATATACTGCTTTCAGTTTACCAAAAGTTATCGTTAAAATTAGTTTTTAAAAAATAAGAAATAAAATCGTCATGATCTGAATGGTGGTTAGTAGGTGGTAGAGGAAACAAGTGTGTGGCAAGATGTTGAGTAGGATGGGGTTTGCAAATGCCAGTAATCCAAAAGGAATTTATATATA